AGTACCTACGATAATATTTTATTCCATTTAAGATAAGAACTAGTTTGGGAAACATTGTCAAGGCTATGATTACGGTTTAAGTCCACAAAGTCTTTGGCTCTTAATTTGAACCATGTCAAACAGTGCAAACTTCTTGCCCAGCGTCCACAAAGTAATCGTAAACTAATGTTGGAAACCTTAAGTAATAATTAGTTTCTCGGGATGCAAATACACTCATTCATTATATTTCTGTAGATCTTGCATCGTAGAATTGAATAAATTTCATTGTTTGATTCCACTTGTTTCTTTTTAAAGACATTTTTGATGTGTGGTCTTCTGTTACCATTGACTTTACTGTCCATCTAGTTAATTTCTTTTTGCTGTGAGGATATGAACTAAACAAACTTGATCCAAAGTACATTTTTCTCATGCCATACTGTTTTCTGATGATATCACTCATTATTTCGTCAAATAGAACATCGAATAGTTAACCGTTAACATTTATTTAAACCGTAATGGTCTTAAATTGAATATATTGGACAGTGAACTCTTATTCAGTGATTCGATGGTCAACACGCACGCTGAAATTCATGAGTTTTACCCTTGATGATATTGTGATCACTCCTTACTCAGTTGTCTTAAACTAAAAAGAAGTAGTTGTCAAGTCCTTGTCCACATTTATATACCTTCTTTTGTTGGATCAGATATATTCAAAAGATTCTACATTTTTTAATGGTATATTGTCACTGTCTAGTGACTTCACATTATATATATATATATATATATATATATATATATATATATATAATTTATGCAAGTTAGTAAATTATTATTTTGATTGAAGTAGATTTTCCCCATCTATTCACCTCAAGATTATCAAAGAAATTTCAAACATAGAAGATACACTCCATGAATTAGAAAAGGCTATCCAAGATAAAGATGGTGCTCTACGTCTAGCTGAAACTCGTTTAGGTATACGTAAAGAGAGACCAAATGTTGAATTGTGTCGAGATCCGGCAAATTATCGGTAAGGATATAGAATCTCAACAGTGAATTTAAATTTCTATTAGTATCTTCAATAATATCTATGATTTTCTGAGTTTTTTAGATATATGTATACGCTCATGATAAAAAGCATTAGTGTAAAGAATAAGGTTTTTATCAATAAATTAATACGCGAATTACTTTCAATCTTAAATATATGGTAATGACAACATTTTTAGGCGTGAGAAACACAATACTGTGAGTTTGATATTTAACTATCTATCAAATAATCTAAGATTAATGGTCGAGAGTTGATGTTGTTTAAATCGAAGCCATTGAAGGAGCTGTGTTCTTAGATAAAAATATCAGTTTTTCGCGTCCACGAGATAAAAGGATAACTCTGTTAATCTATCTATTAGATAAAGACTGAACAACGTTATACCAAAAATATACAATCAGATTATAAGCCAAAAGCAGTTCATGCCTAGTAAATCCAGAGTAGAAATCATTCTTCAAGTAATGGTAAACTGTGTTGTAGTTAACGTAAAAATTCCTGTTTGTCTTCAGTTGGTGTCCAATCACAGCTCACCATCACACTAAACATTCAACCCATAAAAAAATACGAATACACTTTTTATATACTGAGAAGGCAAAGTAATCCATAAATCTGTTTCTCACATTTTAAATCTTGAGAGTCTTATTATGTGACCATTATATTTATTTAAACATTCTTTAATGTGAATTAAAATTAAGCCCACTCATTATAAAGAAGGTATTATAAGCTTTTCGTTTGTTCAATGATTCCATCTAGCATCGACTTTTAAAATTTTCATTGAAATAATTACGTGATCAGAGTTTAATAAATTTACCACAAATTCATTTGTGCCTTTTCGTAATATTTTACTTTACTAGATTAATTCAAGAAGTAGAAGAAATTAAACGCGATATTGAACAACTTAGACAAAGGTTACATGCAGCACATGCCTCCTTGAAAGCTTTGTGTCGTCGTCAGTTGGATTTGGAGGAAGAAATCCAAATTAAAGCTGCGACTTTGTTTATTGATGAAGTACAATGTATGGGTATACGAGAAAGTATAAAGTTTAGTTCATTTTAATTTATAAACAAAACATATATGTACAATATAACTAGTAAGCTTTCATTTGACAAAACCAAGAATAAACACTACTTAGATATACTGCCAATAATTAAATAGATAGATATATATCATTGGTTATTTATATTTCAGTAAACGAAACTCCTTGTGATAAACATATCCTTTTTTATTGGCTTTTACAATGGGGCTTTCATAATATTCTTCTTATATCCATTAATCAGTTATGAAAGGATAATTGTATTCTTTTAAAATAAACATAAATACTTACTTCTACTTTTAAAAGTTTCTTCTATTTATACAGATAATTATATGACGCTAAAAATCTCAGTTAAGAGTAGCCTCCAGTCTATGACTATTAACAGCATGATTGCTTAGCCTTATTCCAATATAACTTGTACTTTTAATATGTTGTAAACTCCCTAATTATTGAAATAAAGGTTTTTTAGTATTCAGATATATATCTGTTCATTTTGTACTTTCTTCTAGAAAAGCTGGTCGTATATACAGCTAATTAGTTAGATGATTGGAAAATGAGCTGTGTATCATTACTTTACACAAAATGTAGAGAACTATAACTTTATACGTGGTTGCCTTCGATACTTTCAGACGACGCTAATACCGCACTTTTAATAAGTTTTATCTTTGTCTCACAAACATTCGGTCAATCGTGAGTAGAAAATAGCAAAAAACAGGTCAAGATGCAACAGTGGCGTCCTCTAGGATACCATTAATTGACAGTTAAAACTGCTTGCTAGTATCTTATAGAGTAATCAAATCAGAATTCTCATGGGAGACTTGGTATTTTCCGTATTGGAATGTTAGGAGGAATGAGTGCTAATAAAATTACAGGGAATCAAACTGGCTTCAGACCTGGTTGTGGCTGCATGGACCACATATTCACCATTCGTCAGGTTCAGGTGTACCTCAGAAGTACATAAACCTTGTGAAGTCTCTTTACTCGAACACCATTAGTCGAGTCAGAGCTTATGGCGAGCTTTTGCAACGTCAAGTGGTGTCCGTCAAGGCTGTCCAATTCCTCCATTTTTGTTTAACTTCATCACAGACCTATTGATGGAAATAACATTCTCGTCGACTGAATTCTCGGGTATTGATCTCCTTCCAGGAGGTCCATATATTGACTTAGAATACGCAGATGACATAGTCCTGTTTGGTAAAGACGCTGATAAAATGCAGTCTTCTAGTAGCACTAAGCAACAATGCCAGAATGTTTGGAATGCACTTCTCTCCCTCTAAATGCAAGTTGTTGCTTCAGGACTGGTTTGCGTCAACACCTGAACTAAGGATAGGGAGTGAAGTAGTCAAACGCGTTGACAACTTCACTTATCTTGGAAGTCTGATCAGCCCTAATGGGTTGGTGTCTGAAGAAATCTCAGCACGGATTCGAAAAGCTCGTTTGGCTTTTGCCAACTTACGTCACCTGTGGCGAAGGCGAGATATCCGTCTATCAATAAAAGGACGAGTATACTGCGTGGCATTCCGTTCTGTTTTAATTTACGGCAGCGAAGCATGGCCATTAAGAGTAGAAGACACTCGTAAGCTACTAGTATTTGACCACAGATGCCTTAGAAATATTGCTGGCATCTGCTGGGATCACCGGGTAAGTAATAGTGAGGTTAGACGCAGGGTATTAGGGAATGATGGTAAATCAGTTGATGAGGTTATGAATCTTCATCGACTGAGATGGTTAGGCCACGTGTTACGTATGCCTGAATACCGATTACCACGACGTGCAATGCTAACCGGTGTTGGAAATGGTTGGATGAAAGTTAGGTGCGGCCAAACCAAAACGTGGCATCAGTGCTTGAAGTCACTAACTTGTAATCTGAGCCATGTTGGTAGATGCATACTACTTGGTTGTGGTCCGCGTGACTATCGTAACCAGTGGTTGGAGACTCTTGGTGACATGACTCGGAGTCGATCACAATGGCGTAGGTGTATACACTCTGTGTCTCTCCTTAAACTAGGAGATTAAAATCGCTCCATATCTTTCTTTCTAAGAACTAATTCTTTCTTCCTTTTATGCAATCTTTCTTTTATACATTACCACCACTGAATTAACTATTTCTATGAATCCGGTGTTCATTTTGTTGTGCTAATGAGGTATGGCAACTTGGACCGATGTATATATGTGACTGACTGACAGTTATTCAAAGTACATTGACAGTGAATGTTCAAAAGTACTAAGTAGTAGTTGTTATGTGATAAGTGATTTCTTCATCCAATTTTTTTATGTTAGAGGCAGTCTCAGATTTGAGGTTAGCACAAAATCTCAGATGGAATAATGCTGATGCATCCTATACATATTCTTTGGTTAACTTATTTTTCCATAGGAGGATTGGACTATCAAGTTGTATTATCTTTCTATAAGATGTAAACCATGAAAATGTTTCCTTGTGTGCTTCTACACAGTTTTAAACAGTCGCAGCTGATGAACAAACCCTAAAACTTCTGACTCTGTTTCATGTCTCTGTTCTTGTTCCTAGAGATTCATATTGTTTTATCGGCAGATAATTTTATTAAGTTTGAACATATTGGGTGATATGAACTTTTAGTGCTATCAATAACAGTTATCGTTGTGATCATTAACACCTTGTCGTCATTTTGCAAAATATCATGTTAACTATGATATCCATTTGTTTCACTTTCGCTTTTTAAGAAACAAGCTCAAAGGGTTAGTTCGAAATTTCTATAAGACTAGGTTTATTTTTAACTTTATAGGTTACACTCAGAAAGTCATGGAAAAAGTTCAATAAGCTTGCATTTCCTGCCTCTAATATTATGATTTAACTGTTTTACACAGTCGACGGTGGTGGTTGATATTCTCTTTCACACTGAAGTACAACTACAACATTTCTTACACATAGTTCCCTTTATTATCTTAAAGAGAGCAAGAACAAAGATTGGTGCAGAATAATATGAATTCATTTTATTTCGTTAGGTTCTCATCAGCTGCTTACAACCTAAATTATTTGAAATTCAAATTATTACATATATTGACATATTTATACATAAGAGTGTTATTAAGGATCAATACATGTGTATCATGTTGTAGCAAAGATTCAAATAGAGTTAATGAGCTCATAAAATGTTTGATTCGAATAAATAAATAAAGTTAGAGAGGGAACGTTCCAGAACATTGAAATAGTGATTAGAACTCATGAAAATAGAATAATGGTAATAAAGAAAATATGAATTGAAATCAATCATTTATGTATGATGTAATTTAAAAGAGTTAGAGTAATGACGCAATAAATAAATAAATAGGAGCAAATGAATAGAAAGAGTGGGGGTTATTGTTACCAGGGTAAAGAATGATTTATTACTGTCTCTTTTTGTATACATAGATCTGGTTTTAAACGTTTGATTGCTATTGCTTCAGCAAATTTTAAAAGGTTGGAGTTTGATTGTTGGTTAATCACCTTGAAGGACTTCAGTATATCAAATTCATGTCCTGTATCAAGGAGATGTCTTGCGATGGCACTATTGAATGCGTTCAGTCCATTTAATCTTAAACTTTTCGGAATATGTTCTTTGAATCGGATGTAGGTTCTCCTTTCTGTTCTACCAATGTAACTGCTCTGGCAGATACATGTAAATTTGTATACACAGTTGGTGGTAACATGAAAGGGATACCTATCGACCTTTGATTGTGTCCAAGAATATGTTGTTTTGGACAGGACAATCAATTTCGCTGCAGGATAAGTTCTTGTCAGTGCAGTTTTTAGTCTCATATTGATTGATCCTGTGACATCGTCACCTTTGAATTGAAGTTGAATAAAAACAGGCTTTTTATTTGCTGTAATTTCTTTGGTTTTTTTATCTTCACGTTTGCCATATTTCTCAATAAATTTCAGTGGGCATCCGTTATTTCTTAAACACTTTTTAACATTCATAATTTCCTCTTCTATTGTATCGGCAGTACATATTCTTTCTGTTATGTGAAACGGTGTTTTGACAAGTGCCTTTTTATAGTTGATTGGACAAAAGCTGTTGAAATTGAGATAAATACCATTCCATGTGTCTTTCTTATGAACTGAGCGTTGAACTGTACCATCCTTTCTTCTTTTCATCGCGATATCGAGAAAACGGAAGTTGTTTTCTTTTTCATGTTCCATAGTGAAATGGATATTGCATGTTGTTGATTATTACATACGATGAAAGCATCATCAACATAGCTCGAATAATACGTCATTTCATCAATCGCTCCTTTAAGCTTGGTTCTTTCGAGGTTAGCCATGAAAATATCTGCTAGGACAGGACATAACGGACTTCCCATCGCTATACCGTCGGTTTGTTTGTATATGATATCGTTGAACTGGAACTGAACATCTTTTGTACAAATGAGTAATAGTTGTTTGAATTCTGGTACTGGTAGAGGTAGAATGTCAGAATGTTGACAAATTATGTCTATGGATTCAAGAAGTGGTATTTTTGTAAACCATGATGTTACATCAAAAGAAACCATAAACTTACCAGTAATATTTGTGTGATTCATGCTGTCAGCAAATACAAATGAATCCTTTAGTGTGTAGGTGGCTAATCGTCGACGCACTGGTTCAAACTTATCTGCCAACCATCGTGCAACTTTGTGGTATGGTGAAGTGATCATTGACAAAATAGGTCTAAGGGGATAACGTTGTTTATGTGTTTTCGGTAATCCATACATGTGGGGCAAACGAGACCCACGAAGTCGTAGATTATTGCGAGTAAAGTTATCGATCATCTTCTTTTTCAGAAGATCTCTGAGTACTTTGGTGATTCTTTTTCTCAATGGAATCAGTTAAGTCTTTGTTACTTTTTTCTAACTTGAATCTCATATGGTCATTCAAGATGGACTTCATCTTAGAGACATAGTCTGTTTTGTTCATTAGAACAACACTTGAGCCTTTGTCTGACCGTAATATCATCATATCATCATTTCGTCTAATATTTCGTAATGCTGTTTGGTGGTCTTTGGATAAAAGCTTAGATTGTGGTGCAGGTGAAACAAGATATTGGTTTGCAATATCGACTAGTTTAGATTTAAACCAGCCTTTCTTTTCTTCACTAACTGGGTGCTCTCTTTACAACATTTCTGTTAAGATCTTTTTGTCATTGAAGTTGACCGTTATCAAAAGAGGCCAAGATAATATTCAATAGTGTGCTGGCTTGAAGCTATTCGTAGTGTTGGTTTTCGACAGATAGTTAATCTTGAAAGACCTTCATGCAACACCGCAGTTATTGACTGGATTAGGATCCATAAAACAACTACTGGACGAGTGAAGTGTAATTTTTCTTGTGAAGGTACCGTTGGTTTTTAGAAATATGACATCTACTTTCACTACGTTTGCTTCGTATTATTCAGTACAAATAGTATACATAAAGTCAGAAAAGATGAGACAATACATCAATCCAGTTGGGGAGCTCGAAATCCAAAATTAACTTGTGACTTTAGTTTTAACTGTATTTACAGAAACTTTCAAAAGTTCTAGTACGTATTACTTAGGTCCATTAAGTTTTGGTGGACTGAAGATAGGTGCGACGTTCCCAACAACTAACAGCAGAACGGCATGATTTACTGAAAATAAATACATCAAGTTTGTCAGCACTATTACTCCAACGGAGCAGTTTATTTAAAGAGCGATAAATTCTCAGTCGTATAGTGGTAACCAATCGGGAGCAACCGTGCACCACAGACTGAAATTAATTACTTGCCTACTCTAAAACCGTCTATGATTTCGAATGAACAATTGATGAAGCCTGACTAAACATTGTTTAAAATAACGAGGATTAAGTGAACATATTCAAAGCATGAGCTTCAGTACTGATATAACTCCAAGCAACGAATAAAGCAGAGATAAGGGGGACATTCTGTTAGAAAATAAAAGGAAAATAATGTGGAAACGTGCCAAAAATTCTCCTTTTCACCTGTCGTGGGAAAACAATGTGGATTTTGTCCTTTTTGTCCCTCTGTGTTTGAAACATTTCTCAACTGTCTACCCTTCGCGGAACTACACGCCTAATTGTCTGCTTCTCGCCTAGACATAAATGTCCCAAACAACCAATAAAGGAGATGAGAGTAAATAAACGGGAAAAGTCGATTTTCCCCTGACGTCGAGTATTTAGGAGAAATGTTCATTTTCCCCCCTTACGTTGTGTTTTTTGGGGGAATTTGTAGACACATATATGTAAAGTACCCTGTTTGAACATGTCGCTTACTGAACTTATATTTTTATATATCTCTTTTGAGGTATACACTTAACATGCAATAAACTACATGCTGTTCTGAAGAACATGTCAACAACTATATCAGACTTGATGGACATGAACATACCTGAAAACTTGATATTGAACTAGAAAGTTTGCAGTTCTCTTTATCATCTAAAGATGGACAGTGAACGTTGAATGCGTAGCCTTAGCAAGAAGATATGAGAGACAAATTTGTAGGTCTACTAACTTCACTGGATTATTACTTCACATACCAAATGGCTGTGGCGATGCAGTTAATGGATGAAATTCCAAAAACGTTAACATGCTATATTATATTATACGTCAAAACACTTGAAGTTGCCAGCCATTTCACACAATCTGACACTTCATAGGAAAGAGCGCCTCAGAAGTGCAAGTTTTACGGCAGCATACAAAGTGGAAAGTGCTTTTTTCCAATCATTAGGCGCACTGACATCGCTATTCCTAATGTTATCCGTCAACAAAAAACAGTTTGTTAAAGTTTATGGCAGCGCTTCACAAGTGTTTTCACGACGTGAGAGACAAAATACAAAAGTTCTATAGAAAGAAACAATCGTGTAAACACTAATTTAAAGTATTAACTATTCACTTCTGTTTTATAGGTGCAGCGTTCAGTATTATTGACCATATCTGTAAGTCATCCATCTGGTCGATAGTTGTATGATAAACCATGGCATTTAAACGTCGTTGTAAGTTTTTATGTCTATTAAGTTACAGAAGTCACAGGAATAAGAACATTACAGTTTAAGGGAGCGTTATTGTTGAAATGTATTCTTATGTTTGAATTAATATTTAATGAACCTTTTTCCTACTGAGATAAATTTCTGACTAGCATGTGAAGCACTTGAACCAATGAAGTGTATCTTATTACAGCCAGTTTGATTTCATATGTACTTACCAACTAAAACACATTCCTATTTAGTAATCCATTACCTGTACCGTCCTATGCAGATCTTCATACAGGAAATTGAAACTTTTCACTTGCAATGAAAATACATAACGTTCGTCGCCTGGGTATCTGTCTATTATTAATATTCTTGTACAGTTCGGTGTACTCAAACATACTATACGACGACTGCAATCGGCTACATTAGTAAATGGCACTGTTTCTTGCAAGTAGGTTGTTTGGTACTAACTCTGGGGTGGGTCTAGGCGATTCCATTGTTGTTTGTTTTTAAGTGCTCATTAAAAACGCTGGCTCCATTCTGTCGACGCTAACTGTGTCATATTTATCTGCTCTTTCCACTGTGACTGTTTTGCTGTCTTTTCAGATGATTTTAAATGGAGTGTCGTAAAGAATCTGTATCGACTGTTTTACTTTATCATTCCTGACGAATACATGTAAGCGATTGTCTAGTTCATTAGGTACCAATGATCTTGCATTCCAGGTTCGTGGTTTGAAAGACCCAAGATACTTCATCTGTTGTTTCAGTCTCTGTAGACGGTTGGTTATTTCTGTTGGAGTATCACTTAAACGATCACAACATTCACCTGGCAGGCGTACTGTTGTGTCATAAACCAATTCTGCAGCACAGCAACTGAGGTTTTGTCTGATAGTTGAGAGGATACTTAACAGTACAAGAGGTATCCCATTTGTAACCTTTCCTCGTGGATGTCAGTGGGACTTCCAGCGGTCAATGAAACATTTCTGTCATTCAGTTAGCTGCCGGATGAAAGGCTGTGACTCTTTCCCTCCGTAAAATTAAAGTTTCCGTAAGCTACCGGAATAGCTTGCTTTCGAACCGCTCTCCACAATTGTTCGTAATTTTTGTTGTGACACCAAAGTTTATAACTCAGTGTTTCACCAATTTCTTTGCCACAGTTGATTCTGTCGTCTATTTTGACTGAACATACACGGGTTTTCTCATTAATCTGTTTAAACATGTTAAAAAATGCGTATACTTATTGGAGCTTGTCAATGGCCTAAGGACGTTGAAATAGATTTGGTAGAAAATAGCGCTAGTGGCAGGAAAAACATGTGAAGGAATCATGATGTTTCTATAGACTCTCGACTATTAGCATTGTATATGTTCTCGTGTCCATTTTCGTAAATCTTTGTTTATGCTTGACCATACAAATCTGTCTGCAACCAGCTTTACCATGGTTTTTATACCTGGTTGAGATATACTGTGTAACTTTTCAAAAAGGCTTCATCTGATGTAAAAAGATACCAAGGGGCGAGTTTTACCTATCGAGATATCATAGGCCAAGGTGTCCTTGTTGTTTATAAGGATGTTTAAACATAAGAATGTCGTTTCTTTGGGTTGCAGAAAATTTTCTAACTCCGTACTGAGCTTGTGACTTTGGACTATGACTTGATAGGTGATATCAAGGGTTGAAAATATGGTAGTATATAATCTCGATAATGCGTCTTCGTCGTCTTTTTATGTTTATATAACGCACGTTAGTTGAAAATTTCGAAATGAATGCCAGTCAGAGAATTTTAAGCAGACAATATTTGCCATGATTATGTATCAAGGCTTTGGTCAGAGGTTTATGGTCAGTAAACAGCATGAAGGAATCGCCCTCTAACACGTATCGGAAGTATTTGATGGCCAATTAGACAGCTAAAAGTTCTCTATTAAAAGTGCTATATTGAATTCGTGTCACACTTAGGTTATTCGAGACAAGTACAAAAGACTGCCACTACTGATTTACACGTCGCTATAGTACAACACTTACTTTTACATTAGAAGAGTCGGTTATTACTGCTGCATCAACGTTCCTCCATACAAGCAATACTTTCATGCTCATGGTGTATTTCCACTGTTCAAAGGCCTGGATTTCATGTAGTGTCACTGTTACTGATTTAGCAAATTGTCTTTATAATTTTGTTATTGGCCCCACTATATTAGCAAACTACGGAATGAAGCGTAGCGTTTCTTGGGTGAACCAAGTAAAAAACATTTTTGATGAATTGAGTTCACTTGAGAACTGTTTCTGTACCTTAAATATCAAGTACATAGTTTAGGAAGTTGGAGGGCTGTTTTCCAAATTAATATTCGCCAGAATTATTATTGTTATTGTTCACAAGTTAGCATACAGATATAATTTCTCTGGTGATCATCCTTATTACAATGTGTTTCCAAGAGAACCCATAATAAAAGACGGTGAAAGTTGTTAAATTTCGAGACTTTAGTAAGAGTTTTGAAACTTGATCGATAATTGGTACATCTGGAGAGCCTGACTCGACTTTGACGTTCAACGGATAAAATTGGCTCGCTTTTAACATTTCAAATTGCGATGTAGTCCGTCTGTTGCTGAATGTGCATCCGACTTAGGTAATGCATCTCAAGAGGTGTTCAAAGTTGAAAAAGATCCAGGTGTATTGGTATCTTATGATCTCAAGTATTATTCTGTGATGAAAGTGCTTTCCAAGAAAAATGTGCACTAGTAATTTTCAACCTATTTTTCTGGAGTTTGACAGCAAAATGTTCCATTTAATCTTTGACAGTTTTATTCAGGCCCATTTAGAGTACACGCCTCATAAGAATGAGAATACACTGGAACGTATCTTGAAGAAATCCATAAAATCAGTTCAAGAGCTTGAATTCGAACCTTATGAAGAGCGCTTTAACCCACTGAATCTTTGTCATCTGACGTTTCTAGACCCCAGAAGTGATCTTTCAGTGGTTTGTAACATCCTTAACATTCCCTGGAATCCCCTAAAATGAGTCATTACACATTTTGTTATAAATACCTAGAAATTGGAGGCTTAGCGCAACAAAATGGACCAGATGGTCAGATTCTGGATCCCAATGGCGACTTAGCTGATTCAAGAGATTTTCATGGAGTCTGTAGCGTGGAGTCGAGTTGAGGTTAACTGTGAACACCGCTACCAAAAAAACACGTGCCAAGCGAATCAGAAGGCGTAAGAAGCTCGTTCCAAATGACTCCATAAAATCCCCGAGAAGCCGAATATCAGAAGACAGTTAATGGACCAAATCGAGGTTTATTAGCCGGCGATCTCGTGGCATCGAAAGGATACCGGGATCGTGCCAGGATACAACCTTGGTTACAGAAGGTAACCGAATTCGCGCGAAGTTACAATCGAAGCGTAAGCGAAAGAATGGAAGCACAAAATAGCTGTCATTAGCACAGTCAAACAAAAGCACATTAAAACAAACACTGGTACAGTTGGTTATAATAATAATTGTTTTTATTAAACCAGTCGTGTTCTCGTGATAAACGTGAGTCACTACAGGAGCCCCCCGCTAGAAAGGGTTTACACTTTCGATAAATAGCGGTTTGAATCGTGGGACTGATCGGCTGATGAGCGATTGTAGGACGGAAGAATTGGCGAACAGGAAAGCGATCGTTGATCGTCGAGTTGCCAACGAAGGTCGTTATCGGAGAACGGTACCAGGAGCGATGTGCTGTATTTATTGCTTGAGTTGGCATGCTACACCAGAGTGGTTTGTATCCAGAATCTGAAGAGGGCGTTCGTAGAGGTGCGCACCAGAAACGCTGCAGACGTAGGACGAAACCACGTTGAGCCAAAAGACCAGAAGCGACCGTTACGACCAAGTTCGTGACCAAGCGTGTGCCAGGAATTCGAAACCAATATATCGACTGAGTGCGTTGACAAGAGCATGGGTGATCAGGCCAGCTTTCGCCAAAGTTGACTGAAGTCGACGGAACCAAACGGGGATGGTCGAAGGCGTGGGCTCAGGAAACAAAAAGAAAATCAAAAAAGAAGAGTGTAGCATACGTGTAGTATAGGAATAATCCTACACCGTATCGGTTGTTGACTGCGCGACTATTCGCGGAAGCGTACGGGTAACCGTACTCGGCGACCGGAACGTGAGACGGCAGTCTCGTTCGCGTCGCGTGAGCCTGCAATCTCATCCGAAGTCAAGGGCGGCGTGGTCTGCTGATCTGGACGTGAGACTGTCGTCTCGTCCGTAGACGGTGCAGATGACGCGTGCTGTTGACTGGGACGTGAGAATGAGGTCTCAGATGTATCTAGCGTGGGACCTGAAGATGATTTGAGGATCCCGCTAGTAGGTTTGCTAGGTCTAGCATTGAATCTCAGGTTGTCAGATAGGGCACTGTCATCGACGTGTGCTGGTTTGAGACGATCAATGCTGACGATCTCGACGCGGCCGTGTCAATCAACCTTGAAGGTCTTTTCGTGACGAGCGATCACGCGAAAAGGGCCTTCGTAAGGATGTTGCAAAGGTTTGCGTACCGAATCTACTCGTACAAAAACATGTGAACAGGTAGATAACTCTCGAGGGAGAGCGACCTGTCGATGTTGTATTCGAGTCGACACCGGAGACAGCGTTCGCATAAATGCAGACAGTCGATGGACGTAGTCTGATTTACCGAAATTAGGTCTGCTCCGTGGTGTGAAGAATTCTCCGGGCAGACGCAATGTCGTGCCGTATACAAGTTCAGTGGCGGAACATTGGATATCTGCCTTTAAACTCGTTCTCGCCCCTAAAAGAACGAGCGGTATGGTTTCGTGCCAGTTGCCGTTTTCGTGTGCTCGTAGAACACTTTTAAGTTGGCAGTGAAACCGTTCAACTTAACCATTTGGTGCTGGGTGGTAGACGGAGATGCTTATGCGTATGCATTCCGTACCAAGCAGCCGGGTCAGCGAGGAGAGTCGTTAATAGGGTAACATTTCTCGAATAAAGCGTGGAATTCATCATCACGCGAATAAAAAGTGACAAGGATTCGGTACGCATACGTGTGAGTCTATTATATTAATACTATTCTTATCGTTATCCGTCATGTCGCGTATATTATATATTAAAAATATGAAAATATACGACAGACGTGGATAGATAAATCATAGACTCACCGAATTGGCTTCTTTGGAAGATTTGATCAGAAGTTGAGGCGTGTTCCAAAATACGGCTCACCAATTGTAGCGTGGCGTCGAGTTGAGGTTAACTGTGAACACCGCTACCAAAAAAACACGTGCCAAGCGAATCAGAAGGCGTAAGAAGCTCGTTCCAAATGACTCCATAAAATCCCCGAGAAGCCGAATATCAGAAGACAGTTAATGGACCAAATCGAGGTTTATTAGCTGGCGATCTCGTGGCATCGGAAGGATACCGGGATCGTGCCAGGATACAACCTTGGTTACAGAAGGTAACCGAATTCGCGCGAAGTTACAATCGAAGCGTAAGCGAAAGAATGGAAGCACAAAATAGCTGTCATTAGCACAGTCAAACAAAAGCACATTAAAACAAACACTGGTACAGTTGGTTATAATAATAATTGTTTTTATTAAAACAGTCGTATTCTCGTGATAAACGTGAGTCACTACAAGTCCTTCATGAGTACGCTTGATCTATTCTTAACGACTCAGCAGCTTTCTTGCAATTACTTTTCTTTCAATCGTGAAACATGCCTAGGCATTTGCCTAAATGTATCGGAAGCTCATTTTAATTAGACACGGAAGCCCTTTAAGCAAAAGATTCTTCTATATAGTCTGTAAGCATTTGAACCGTTCGAAACACTTTCATTTTCTGTTCAGTTCTTTTGGGACTAAATGATGTAAAATGAGTTTTAATACTGAAAATAATGCTAGAGGCTTAGTAACAGGAAGTCAACGTTTTATTATCTCTCAGCATTGATCTATTTTGAACATCTGACCTTGTCGTAGTTTTACTTTTTCAAAGATGTGATACCTTAGTTATTTACGAGGTTAATTTTTTAAATGGAGTCGAAAATTGAAAAGTCTAATTCGTTTACAAAAGCTTTAAAGAATACAGAGTTTACCATTGAAGAATATCTGAAAACTGTGTTTCAAGAAAAACTGCTGGTGTAACTCTTGTTACTATTTCTATTCATTTTTAAGTAATGCACCTGCAGATGAAGACAGAAACTTAACTAATTCTACCAAACTTCTAGAAAAATATAAAGAGCTAAAAAATGTTCAAAGCGCACTTACGGCCAAAAAAGAAGTACAATGATTTTAATCGCTATGGTCAATATTCTAACAGGAGTTTAGGGTTAAAATGGAATGTATGCAAAGAAGGAGAGAAGACCTTGAGAAAAAAGAGTGTGAACTTAAAGAATCACTCATAAAGTTTGACCAGTTCTTTAAAGATAATGATGAAAAGAGAGTAAGAGCGACGAAAAAAATATCAACAGAAAAAGGCTTACAACAGCAAAAGCAAACTGAAATCAATATGTAACTAATAGTTTAACTTTAAGAAATTTCCCTAGTCTAAATGACGATATTGCAAGATTTACCAAAATGCGTGAAAAGCAAGAAAGAAAGGTCAAGTCGCTTCTTAAATACAGGCTTTTTCTGGAGTCGGTTGTTAAAATGTCCGATGAATTTTCCGATATTTATGAGCTCATATCACGATACGACGCTCTGAAAGCAAACTTAGAGGTTAGTTAATTTAAGAAAATCCACAAAGTTGCAGGATCTGAGAAGTTCAGATGCAAAAACACAGAAACTTATAGACAACAAAAGCAGTGAACTTGTTCACTTTAAAAAGGTAATTTAACTGATATACCTTGATATATTTCATCAGACAAAACAAGATGAGAAACTCTCTCTAACTAACGAAATAGCTGAGCTTCGTAATCACTTGGAGTTGCAACAAATGAGTGGGAGAAATAAAGAGACTCAGTGGGAGCACACAAGGGACTTAGCTGCTAATCGTATTTATGAACTTAGCACCATAGTTATGTAAATCGGAATTGTATATAATCGATTTTCATTCACAGAGCTGTTGCTAATATGTATACTATCGTACGATCACATCAGAAGTATGGCGAATCGGCCAAGCCTAATGAAACTTGTAAACAACTAAAAGCAGTGAGTTAAATATTATATATCATCATGCGGTTGTTCGGATATTTAATGGTGACTTCAAATAAACTTCGAACCAGTTGTTTCACAAACGTGAAGATGGATCTTATTATTTTGTTCAAATGCACACATGCAACCGTTCAGTTGAGTAAAAATCACTTACCATCACTATATGAAATGCTCATATGAAACAAACGTGCATATACATCAAACAGATTTTAACCTGAAGAAGATACTTGTTACGCCTCACTTACTGGTCCACTAGCATTATTTATAATTGTTGTTTGCTCATTTTTTGACATTTTAATGTATAAAGTTGACCAACAGTATGCTATCATACAGACGGACATAAGACAAACCAAATTATAACTTTCAAAGTTAAATGAATTAAAGTTTTATTGTGAAAATCTCCCTAAAAACATTATTTGTAGCAGCAAAGTGTGTGGTACATAATTTAGTGGCAT